CCTCAGGGGTGACAACGCACTTGCATTTTGATTCTTAATTGAGGATAAATGTAGATGTCTACGAGCCACAGCATCCATTTACCATTGAGCAGACTGTGTGCTAGTTGGTTATCCTTCTTTTATTAAAAAATAAATTGTTATTTGGCTGATCGTTTCGACATTTACATAGAATATCATTAAAGCCAACAATTACATACAACAGTGCTGTAAATAGATTTGTAGTGTTGTAGGATAAAGGCCTTTTCATAAATGTCTCTAATATACTGCACACACCAACTATTGCAATTCACAGCAATAATAGTAGATAACTTGTAGTGCTTAGAATAATTAAAGAAATGCTATCATATTTTTCTAATGGTATTTGTCCTTTATAATAACAAAATTAAGCTATATAATTAGTAATAATTTCATTGTTACAGGCACATAAAAACATATGTCGCATAAGTTGCGTTTTTACGTTGTAGGGCCATGCTGCAGTTATGTTTTGGTTGTAGCACGAATGTATTGGCCACGTTTTCAAAGAGTACCACCGTAAAATAGCAGATTAGTACTACTTTGTTTCGTATCGTGAGGCTAGATAACCGGAGCTCCTTTTTACTAGAAACGAGACATTCTTAGTCCTCAGAGGTGACAACGCATCGGCATTTCGATCCTTAATCGAGGATAGATGTAGATGTACACAGGCCACAGCATCCACATACCATCAGGTCTGAACTGTGTGCTCACTTGACACCCTTCTATACAAAAAAGTGCGGTATGAACCTTCCTTTCGTAATTAAACTTCAAAAGAAAAATTAAAACGGACTTCAAAAAACTTGACGTGGTTAAAAATTATTTGCCTATATGTCATGCCTTTGCAAATTGAAGAGTTTTCTCATGGATCCCATCATCACATGTTGACCAAATTGTATGGGACTACTGCTGAAGTACCTACTAAAAAAAAAGAATCATTGAAATCGGACAATGTAGTGGACAGTGTGGTATAAATTATCGCTGAACATGAATATCATAAAATATTACGACGAATTGAAATACCTTCTTTTTTAAAGTTGGTTGAAAATAAAACCTGATTTGCTTACCCATAAATGGACGTTTGATGTGCGAAAACTAGTTAAAATAACAGACTTTTTAATACGCTTGATCACTCTCCGGTCGTGTCAGATTGTCGTCCCTTTAGACTATGAGAATGAAGGAATAGAGAGTACACCTGCGCTTCTTGTGCACTTTAATCCTGTTCTGTGCTAATGGCTATGTATGTAAAGAGTAATTAAAAGTGGACGTACAACAAAATATTGAGAGTCACTTATCGGGATAAAAACTATCCTATCTCTCAAGTTGGACCAAACTGCACACAGTTTGAAAAATTTCACTGAAATCAGTTCAGTAGTTTAGGAGTACATCGGGACAAACAATGTGACACGTAATTTTTGTATATAAAGACTGTAGTAAATTTTTTGATAGTTAATGAAATAAATCACCAAGTACGTTTAATACATATTTGGATTTTTAAATTGTACATTGTCCATTTAAAATTGGTGCACCGGACGCGTAAGGATACAATCTTATAGTTCAGTTAACGGATAAGAGTTGATACTTTAACACTTTCTCTTACAGTGACTAAGTTGGAATGGCTTTAAATTCCTTACAGGGGGTACTTGTACAGTTCTTTTGACTCTGTGACATTTCAGTGTGGCGACAATGATAATGCTTCGAATTCAAGTTCTTGTTTTGCAGTCAACTCATTTTAGAATTGGTCATGGCCGTTGAGCAACCTTTAGGTACTTCAAATTACGTTTGACTTTGATTTTTCACCTAATATTAATATACATATATTTTATAAGCCACCTTTTATTACAAGTAAAAAGTTAATTAACATACATATTTAGTAACTGATATGAAACATACCTGTATTAATAAGTATGTAAGTACTGTACTAATAAGAGTGTAAAGTATGCAGTATTTGTAACAGTGAGTTTCTTTAATTTGTTTGTAGTTTTGAGTTTATTTTGACTCCTCCGGACCGGACCTGAGGCTTTGGCCAAGGGCTAAGGTCTGGTTGATGTCTACTTAACTCGAAATTTATAATAACTCAACGAGATCTGCAAAAGAACGAACGAAGAAATGTTATATTTAATAAGACATTATTTATGTCTCCATACTGCATTGTAATAACGAGAATTTTGTAAATAAATGAGAACATTCCTTTTGAGTAGTTCGTGAGGAAGTTTTTCAACTTTTATATAGTTATTATAATACAGACTGTAAATATTTTCGGTCCTGCGCTTTGAAGACACATTTAAAATTAGGCTAATTACTGCTTCATTAAAAATCCTACACATAAGTTATCATATTATGTTTTTAATATATCATTTTGAGATTTTCATCATTTTGGAAAGTGTTGTAAAACTTTTTCAAAATGCCTTTCAACTCGCAGGACCAAATTGTTTGTATAATATTTTGAAAGTTACCACTTTCTTTTAATATTTCGAAAGAGGCTTGTCATTAGATCCCTAAGGAGTTGTCAGTTGGAGGCAGTTGTATTTTCTGTTGCAATAAATAAAGCTCAATACAGTTTGTATTTACTAAATAATGTTCCTAGTTATTCTAGTTATTTTGTTACTATACGTGATACTCATTTACATTTCACCTTTTTAATTCTCTGTATGATTTAAACCTTATTTAACGACTGCAGGGGTTCAAGCCCGCGAAGTTGAAAATATACTGCCTTCATTTGATCGGTCACAAATATCATTAATAAAAAAGTCAGATGAAATTAATTTCGTATTTTATAAAATTGACTATTATCATAAATTATGTACTAAAATGAACAGCTCATTATGTTATTTGATTGTTTACTAAATTATTATTAAATGATAGAAGTTTATTCTGGTCACTCAACTCCTATTAATAGTTAGTTGTTTGTAAATTGACGAGTTGCTGGATCACGGCCACCATAATGTGTATATACTGTGAATGTGGCTTGTTCCATTGTATTATAATTATTTATTCTTTAACGATCCCATGTTGTGGATGTCAATATAGCTATTAAAAGACACATCATCTTCGTCCTTATGTGAAGGGGATTGCAACAAGACTTGTCTAAGACTTCCGGATATCTGTCCCGACGTGTGTACAGATGGTTGGATCCCAGATATTGTAGTTTTACATATGTATTGAGATTTCGCGGTGAATAGGTTAGTTGCATTTGCCAAAATAAATCTCACATTACCGTTTGTATTGTTTTCTTTTTATCATACCCTACCAATGCTTGGTAAATGAAACAGATGACGATTGCACGGCCTGATAATCCAAGGACCTCATTACCACCCACTGGCCCTGGGTACGAATTTGGTTTTCGATTTAAAGTGACTGATTTATAAGCTTCTTCTGAAATAATTCAAGATATCTAATAAAATTAATAATACACTGCCTTTGATCTCTTTGCATGTTTCCATAACACATGTTCATTCATTGATTCATTACAGCTCATTAAAAGTCCACTGCTGTACATAAGCCTTTCAAATAGTGTGCCCCATAGGGATCAACCTTATTTGCCATAGTTGCCACACTAGGCGATATTAGTAAACCTGTCTTATGATATATGGGAAATTAGTTTTAAGTCAGAGCAATATGGATATAAAGTGGTATACGTATATATATATATATAATTATTACTAAATTACATTATTAGATTTCACTATTATATATATATATATATATATATATATATATATATATATATATAATAAAGTAATTTAATATTTTATAATTGCTACGCCCAAACCGGGTTCAAATGCGGACTATTTTTTTAAAACACATCTATTGTTACCATTTGATTGCAATAAAGATTATGAATTATGAAAGTCCCATCCAAATCGGTTCACAGGTTTTTGCATGATGCGTATTCAGATAGATGTGTTAGAGTTTTATTATAGTATAGATTTCTAATAGTTCACCTGATGTTATATCTAGTTGGCTACCACTGGCCATTGACAACTGTAACTACAACCAACTATAAATAAAGACAGCACAGATATCTAACTTCTAACTAAGATGAAATGCCTCATTGTAGCTTGTAACTTTACTAGGTTAGGTATTTTAAATTGGAACAACTATGAGTATCCTGCAAAAACAGGTAAGAGGGTGATAGAAACAGACCGCTGGGGCTTTACAACATACTACTGTATTTCTGGTCTGAATATTTTATGTTTGTCATGAATATGGTGGTTATAATGCCATCTATCAGAAGATATAAGACCTTTTTTAGCATTTTCCACAATCACCTCTTATGTACCACATGGATCCTCACAGTATTACTCAAACACTACCTCACATCTAGCTATCTATTGTAGAAAGAAGTTTCTATCATAAAATTAATTACATAAATTTATATAATATATAAATTTAAATAATAAATCAATCATCTTAATTAATTTATACATATATAAATTAAACTAAAGTGTCCATCTGTAATATCAAAATAAATGGCATTGAAGCATAAAATGTTAAAAATTTATTTAGTATAAAATAACCTTAGGAGATAGATAATAGTGTAGTTTGTACTATTTTAAAATTGCAAATCAAAAAACTTGTTTTTATATCATTTATAATTTATATGTTCTAACATGTGTTGCAAACAACCAAGTCTCGCCATTTCTTCTACAGTACAAAGTACATATATGGCCACAGCATCCACTTATCATCAGGTAGACTGTGCTTGTTTATCACCCTATTATATAAAGAAAAGTATGTGTTGTTTTTTTTTGGTATATTATAAAATTATAAATTTATTTTTCATCTGAAACCAAAATAAATTTGTAATTTTATAATATATATAACAAATACCACACTGCCCAGTAATGTATTTTTGCCTTACTCAATTAGATGTAGCAATGAATCCTTATTTTGGAAAAGAAATGATTTTGGAAAAATTTATATATTATCAATAATGTAAAAAAATAGTCTTTTGTACAAATGCAGTGTTTATAAAACAACAATCCTTATGATACATGACCAGCTAAGATGGTAGCTATATTTGTACACATAGACTTGATTTCCTCATCACTTAGATACTCAGCACCGAGGATTGCATTTCCTAAAGCGATAGTCTCTCGCATAGTATTGGCTTTGATCCAAATCCTTCCGTTCATTCCTGCAGCAAGTTCAAATGGCCATTCATTTTTCAAAGATTCAAGTAAAGGGCAATTAGGGTTTAAAATCTTCCTAATTAGATTAAGCGAGCACTTGAATACGAAGCCGTCGGATAAAACACCCATTCGACCTTTTTTCCCGTGTGAATCAACACAGACTAACTCCGGCTCCATATCTTTGCTAGCAACAAGCATCTTTGCGTAGACGACATCGCCTATTTGTACATCCGGTTTGTTTTTCTTTGTAGCGCCTTCGAAAGAAAGGTAGGATAATGCTGCAGTTATGCTGCTTCCTACATCGACTCTAAATATGTCCCCAGCTTTCTGAACGACCACTCCTATAACATTTTCTCCTCTGGCTGGTATGTATCGCTTCTGGTAATTATCTACCCAGTAGGTATTTGGATTTCTCTTCTTTAAAATCCCAGCTTTTGTAACGTAAACATGGTCAATTTCCTTTTGAAGACCAGGCCCGATTATAACTTTTGCTTTTTCGCCAACTGCGGATATTTCTTCGCAATAGTCGCCCGGCAAGACTACATCGCCGACGGATGCCTTCATTGTCTTCACTTCTTTAAATTATACGTAAGTTGTTCACAATTTATTTTAGTATTCTTTGGGAAATGCAAAGAAAAAAATTCTTGAAAAGTTGATGACATTTAAATTGACATCTTAGGCTTGGGCAAAAAATATCGAAACATCGATATTTTTTAATAAAAATATTGATATATATCGTCGATGTTTTAAATCACGATATATCGATATTTATTTTAGCGTATCGAATTCATATCAATTTCGATATATTTTAAAATTTTGGATCGTTTCTTTCGTCGTCCAACCGTCAGTAAATAAAATTTTGGTCCTTATCTTTACATCATGCAAATGATGACGATATATCGATATTTATAACGCGATATATATCAATACTGTTTAAAAATATAGATTCGATATATATCGATATATTTTTTCCCTTGCCCATCCCTATGACATCTGACATTCGGTTGAAACATATTTGTTGAGTTTTGGCGGGAACTTGACCGGCGGCGGTTAGCTGCTCCTGTATTATTGTTTAAATAATGGTTTGAAGTGGACTTTGATATGTAAAAGTGGTGCGATTTTGAGTGTCTACGCATGTCAACTATTAGTGGAAACGGTGAAACAAGTGCTCTAATGGTGATGTGATTCTCAAGATAAGGTTGTCTGTTTAGGTGCCTTGAGATACCATTGCCAATTGTCTTCTGGCTCAAGTTGCCGTCAAAATCTCCCAAGGACTTCACAATGTGACGCATCAACATATTGTGAAGCTGTGTACTATGAAGGACAATTATACATTTGTACTATGAAGTATAATTTTATTTTGAAAAAATGGAAGACATGGCTGACGCACAAGCCGTGCAGGCCAAAAAATGGAAGAAAAAAAAACCATATTTGTTTTATAAGATTTTCGGCTTGGATGCTTATTCTTTAAGCCATGTTATCATTTACCTAAGTATCCACTTGATACTGAGGTAAATGATGACATGGCATAATAATCCTTTATAAAACACTGTTTCACAATATATTTATGCTTCACAATGCGCAGCCCTTGGAAAATTTTGACGGCAACTTGATCCAGCAGACAGCGATAGTATCTTAAGGCACCTAAGCAGACAGACACCTTATCTTGAAAGTCACATCATCATCGGAGCACTTGTTTCAACGTTTCCACCTAGTTCATATGCGCAAACATTTTATACCATCGCACCACTTTTACATAGTTTGCTTATAGAGCTCGAATCGGGCCGCCGTGCCTATTAGCAATAATACAAGTATGTATTTAAATATTTTCAATAAAATTGTGACCTAGGTAAACCTTTGGACAATTTCTGTTAAGTTGTGATTTTAATGTAGTGAATAACAAATTGTAATGAAAAACATTTGAGAGAAATCATTACACATATAGACGCCATTGAAGTTTCAGCCACCAGTGAAATTGAAAAGAAACATTTAAAAAAAGTTACCCCCACACTAGGATCTTCTCCTGTATCGTAGAGGCAGTTTATCAATATAAATTGCACAAGGACAAACATCCAGACCCGGAACAATTATTTGTAGGCCATACAAATACTTGTTCCGTACAGGATTCGAACCCGCAGCCCCCAGCACAACAACTTATTGCTAAGCCACTGCGCCTTGGAGCCCTGAAAATTGGATAACCTCAATCGAACAATGCCCCGATGAACTTTGCTATATTGCCCAAGGGTAAACTAAACTCTGAACAAAAACTAAGAATCAATTCCCTATCGAAAGGTGGTTATTGCAGCATCTCAGATGGCAGTACACTGCCAATCGTTTAAGCAAAAGGTTATTTTAATGCGCACGTCTCTTGAAGCACTGAGAGAAAAACTCAATATCTATAAGTGAAAATCAAGTAACTACTATGAAGAAAGAAACAAGGACATAGAAACACTCGATTTACATAAAGAAAAGAAATATACAACGTGTAACAAAAACACTGTGGTTCCCGTTAAGTACGTTATCAGAGTCAATATTCAAACGTAAAGAAATAACTTCTTTTTTCAAAAAACTTGAACATTAAAAACAATATTTTATTTAAAAAAAATTAAATTATATTTTTAATTAATATCGGTTGAATTACCAAGACCAAATGATAAATACATTGGTTAGAATCTTATTAGTATGTTAAAAGTGACAACAATTTAAAGTTTCATGTTATTATTATTAATAAAATCACATAAAATATACATAAAAGGAGTACTTGTATATGTTAAAAGAGAATTAAAATCTATAGTTCTAGGAATATAAGGAGGAAGGTAATCATATAGGGAGGAGGATAGTTTGAGACAGTTGAAAACTATATGGTTTGTCGAACCATCATCTAACCCACATTCACACAATGAGCTATTCCAAACTGATCTTGGCCGGATGTACATGTGTACAAGCATGTCCAATTCTCTATCTACAGATGATTGATTGAATGCTTATTTGATTTGTTAAATTAAAAAAATAAAGGCTTGGGTGGAATAACTTCTTGGATGGCAGCATAGTGCTTACCCTTAACATTTTTGGATACTTCCCACAATTTATCCCAATTTTCATTCAGTTTCCTTTTAGCTAGCAAAATTAGGTCATGTCATCATTATCATCATTACAGCCCTTCACAAGTCCACTGCTGAACATAGGCCTCCCCCAAAGAATGCCACAAAGCACGGTCCTGAGCCACCTGCATCCATCGACTTCCTGCATATCTTACCAGGTCGTCACTCCATCTAGTGGGGGGACGCCCTACACTTCGCCTGCCGGTACGAGGCTGCCACTCGAGAACCTTTCTTCCCCATCGGTTGTCGGTTCTTCGAGCTATATGGCCGGCCCATTGCCACTTCAGCTTACTAATCCGTTGGGCTATGTCGGTCACTCTAGTTCTACTGCAGATATCCTCATTTCTGAGTTTATCACGCAGAGAAACTCCGAGCATAGCCCTCTCCATAGCTCGCTGAGCGACCTTGAGCTTCCTCATCCGGCCAGCAGTGAAGGACCACGTCTCAGTTCCGTATGTCATCACTGGCAACACGCACTGGGTGTACAGTCTCGTTTTCAAGTTTTGAGGTATACCTGACGAGAAGATGTGCCGTAATTTCCCGAACGCTGCCCAACCGAGTTGAATCCGTCGATTGACCTCTCGGTCGAAGTTGGACTTACCTAGTCGGACTATTTGTCCCAGGTAAACATACTCGTCAACAACTTCGAGCTTAGTGTTCCCAACAACTACCGGCATAGGTGTGACATGGACATTAAACATGATCTTTGTTTTGTCCATGTTCATCTTAAGACCTATCCGTTGGGAAACACTATTGAGGTCATTGAGCATAGTGCTTAGGTCCTCCAGCGATTCCGCCATAAGGACTATATCGTCGGCAAATCGAAGGTGAGTGATGTACTCGCCATTGATGTTGATACCGTATCCTTTCCAGTCCAGAAGCTTGAAAACATCTTCCAATGCAGCGGTAAAGAGTTTCGGGGATATGACGTCACCCTGTCTTACACCTCTCTGCAATTGGATAGGTTTCGTACTCTGGTTCTGTACTCGGATAGCCATCGTAGCCCTACTGTACAAGCACTTCAACACTTCGATATACCGACAGTCAACTTGGCATCGCTGAAGGGACTGCAGCACCGCCCAAATTTCGACGGAATCAAAGGCTTTCTCATAGTCCACATACGCCAGACATAGTGGCAAATTGTACTCCTCGGACTTCTGTACAATTTGCCGAAGGGTATGTATGTGGTCTATGGTGCTAAAGCCTTTTCGGAAACCGGCTTGTTCGGGAGGCTGGAAGTCGTCAAGTCTGCGCGCGAGACGATTCGTAATGACTCTCGAAAACAGCACGTAGACGCGGCTCAGAAGGGAAATCGGTCTGTAGTTCTTCAAGAGAGCGTTGTCGCCTTTCTTGAAGAACAAGACCACCGCACTTTTGCTCCACGCCTCCGGTGTAATGCCACCATGGAGGATGAAATTAAAGAGCTTCTGAAGGACTTCAAGTACCGGTTTTCCACCCGCTTTCAGAAGCTCCGCTGTAATTCCATCCTCGCCTGAGGCCTTGCCGTTTTTAAGGTGCTGGAGAGCCATTCTAATCTCGCTCAGACTGACGTCCGGGATATCATCGGAATAATGTTGGATAAGACTCGCTCTTGGATCGTTACTCACACTTGCGTGCGGCTCCAACAATGACGTGTACAGCTGCCCATAGAACCTCTCAATCTCACTCAAAATCTCAGGTGCCCCGGAAACGATGCTGCCACATTCTGTCTTCAGCTTTGACAGTTGGCGCTTTCTGGCAGACAGATCTCTGGCAAAGACTTTGGAGCCTCGGTTCCGCTCGGTATCTTCTTCAATACGAGCTGTATTGAATTTGCGTAAGTCCCGCCGCATGCATTTGGAGATCTGTCTGTTCAGTTGCCTGTATGCTGTTAAATCTGTTGAAGAATGTAGCTTCATCTCCCGTCTAACAGCCATGAGATTAAGAGTGTGATCGGAGAGTTTTTGTGTTCTTCTGCGGCGGGTCTTGCAGAACTTAGCTCCGACCGCATGGACAGTTTCCACAAGCTTGTCATTCAAATTGTCCACTTCATTGCAGTCTTCTAGGCACTGAAAACGGTTTTGTAACTCGAGCTGAAAGGTTTCGGGACTTTGGATTAGAGCACGAGGGGGACGGAGCGTTGACTTCATTAGACGAGACCTCTCCAACTTAACGTTTAGGTTCAGTGTGCCTCTAACCATTCGGTGATCGCTGCCGGTTTTCACCCTCGCGATCACTGAGACATCACTGAACAGTTGTCGTCTGGTCGTCATAATGAAGTCAATCTCATTTTTTGTCGAACCGTCGGGGCTCGACCAGGTCCACTTCCTGTGGGGCCGCTTCTGGAAGAAAGAGTTCATCATAAAGAGTCCCTCTTTCTCCATGAAGTCGGCCAGCTGCTGGCCCCTTGGGTTCCGTTGCCCTATTCCAAATTTCCCTACTTTCAGCTCACCGTTGTCTCTTGTGCCTAGTTTTGCATTGAAG